TACACACAATACAATAATACATATTTTATGAGATGTTAAAAGCTATTCTTACCTCTTAATGAAACTCTCTTCCCGATCGGTGCATTCTTCTTCTTCCAGACGTCGTGCTCCGCTATTGCCATGAAATCTCCACGCATGTTCTCTCATTCGGAGGCTAGCCAGCGTGTTGCAATTCTCGAGACTTTTGATTCAAAAAGACTCTAGCGAGACTTTTGTCTCATGCGCGTTGTGGGTTTGTTTCTTTTGGACCTTTGTTATTAGCGAACAATGAGCTTTGTTTTAATATTACTTTTTAAATTTTACTATAATCTTTTTGTTTAATTTTTAATTTTTAATTTTTATATGATAGATTGATAAGTCAATTTCTTTTTTAACTCATTCAAATTTTAAATCACACAAGTTTTTTTCGTTTGTGTAACCAACCATTATTGGTATTAGTAAATCAATTTATTTAAATAATAAATATTTAAAGAATAATTAAAAATAAAAATAAAATAGAAAAGGTATTTTTTTTAAACAAGAATAAAGAAATGAAAGGTAAGACAATGATAGCAGGAATTGTAAAAGAATAAGAATTAAATTTATATAAATATTTCGTAAGAAAAAAAACAATGTTTTCCCAATATCACATCGGAGAACTTGTATGAGTTTATTAGTTTAATGACGAGAATTTTAGAAATCGAAAATGAAAGAGGAACTGTAGTTCCTGTGAAAGGAGTGTTACCACTAGCAAACGATCTTGTGCCTGAAGGTTTTGCCTCCATGTAAAAGTTAATGAAGTATTTAAAATTTTAATCTATATAAAAAATTAATTTATATAACAAATTTAATCCACATAAAAATTATATCATTTTCAACTAAACTTAAAATTTTAAAATAATATATTTATGAGTTTATATTGTTAATATATGTTAATCTACATTTTCATTTTTATCTTATGAAAGGTAGATACGAATTCAGAACAAACTAAGATATAAAATTTCTAAGTTTCCTTCTATGGTCACGAAGTGCTTCCAGATGCAGTTTTGTAAGTTCATTGTTAAACGATAACATCTCGACTAAACCATAATTCTAAAATATCGTGAAACAAATATTTAGAAATTGGATAGAGTCAAAAACCTTGTTACATAGTGCAACTTTGTTAAAAATAACATTTCCTGTTAAACATGTAATTATTATAATACATTGAAACAACAATTTTGACATATCATGGTGAGATTTTACCAACATATATGAAACCTTTTTCAATTCCGAGATAAGCCTTCTGAAATGATGAAATCAATTTGAAATTAAAAATTGATCTTTGAACAATAATGAAATTTTAATCTAATAAATCGTATAATAAAATATTTGAAAAACATGATTTAAAAATAGTGTAATTCAATTATTTTAATATTAAATGATTTTAATATAAATAGTTTGATCATAAATGAGTTTTATAATTTTAAAACACACTATCTTCTATAAACCATTTTTTAGAGTTCTTTGATTTCTTTAAGGGTTCTCGCTCTCTATTCGTCTGTTTAAAGATCATAAAATGCGTGATCGATCCTTGCAACAAGATCTTTAAGTTTAACCAATCAATTTCTCAGATATAATAAGTTGATTTTATGATCCTTTCTTTAGTTAATTTCATTTTTTTTTCATGTTAGCTCTCCTTGTGTTTGCATGTGAAGTGAGAGTCTTCTATAAGACTCTCTGATGATCAATGGTTCTAACGGTGTACCTAATCATATTTCTGTTATTCGTAGGAGTAGTAGGGCTTCCTATACTTGTGGAATTGTTTTAGGCCTTTTATAGCACTTTGATTTTCTATAAGGTAAGGGAAGCTAACTACCACTTTTTGATATTGATAATGTTTAGATCAATTGTGTTGCATTCTTGATTTGGTTTGAAATTGATGAATTGGTATATGGAATTGTTGAATGTGAGCTTGCTGAAATTCCTTTGTTCTGATTGCATGAAATTGGGGTGAATATGTGATATATGATATTAAAAGGACCTTGTAGTAATTGCTTGTTGAATGTACCTATTTTTGGTTGCTTGAATGTGGGATTGATGATATTATGAATTGGAAAGTGTTGCTGAATTGTAGTGTGGTGGAATGGTAGAGTTATAATTGGTTTTTCGTTTGAAATTTGGGATTTTGACAAGTCATATTCTAAAGGAATTATTTTAGGAATGAACTTGATGTTTGGGGTTTGTTATTAGGTCATTTAGGACTTGATTACGTTTTATTTGCCAAAAATCCTTTATATATAAATTAAGTGTAATATAATTTTATTTGTTAAAGGAGGAGAACGTGTATTTTAACACAAGGGATACTCAAGGAGGTAGCTAACTTTGAGACATGATAGGTAAAATATATTTTTTTAAAAGAATTTAACAAAACTTTAATATATTTGATATTTGAAAGGAGAGAGGAGTCCACCTTTTAAATAATAAAAAAAAACACCACAACATACTTAGAGAGTGTTTTCAGAATGAAAAAAGCTTTTTGACAACAAATTTTTGTCAACTTTTTGATAACTACATGTGGCGCTTGTTGATTGGTTCGTTTAATATCATTTTTGAAAAAAGGGTGAAATTTGTTGTTGAGGGTCGTTTTGGAAGAAAAAAAAAAGCTTTTCACACTTTTATTTTGAGAGAACCATGCACGTTTCTCTTAGTCTCGTGAAAAGCACCATTGCTTCACCCTCTCTTCACTATTTCTCAATGTCTTCCACCGAAATCCTTAGTCTCTCTCCGTCTCGCTCTTCCTCTCTCCATCGGTGGCGAAGTTAGTCCGATAAGCACGATTGTGGCTAACATTTCCTCCTTTCTTCCTTTGTATCTGTTGTTGTTGGCGGCATTCTTCCTTCCCCAACGTTGCATCCTCTCTGCCCCTGTCTCGCATCCATCAACGACTAAAGGTGTGTCCTTTCTCCAAGGTTTGGGGTTTTCACATTGTGGAGGTTGGTAGCACCATGAAGTAAAGGTTTTTACTTTACTGATAATGCTTTTGTTAATGTCAGGGTTGTGTAAAGAAAATGACTTTCATGAAATGAGTATGGATTAATCACTAAATTGTGGTGTTGTGTTAATTTCTAAACTGTGATGTGTTGATTATATGAGGAGTTGCTCGGATTTAGGCAAAAATATGTATGTGACTGGATTCTAGACAACAACAACGTGCGAAGATTCCAAGTGCTGCAAGAATTAGGATTATTATAGGATTTGAATTGTATGTTTTCTAGAGATTTTGATTGTATGAGCCTTGTATAGCTTGCCTTGTAACTTTTTAGTATACAAAAGGTCATGTTGGGTAATATGTACTTGTGAGACATTATTTGAATAAAACTCCAGTTTTGATGAATAAAATTTAAAATTTGATTTACTTTGCCTGTCTTTTTGGATGACTTTTTGAAGTTTTGGTGATGGATGATTAAGTTTATAAGTCATGGTTGGTGTTTACTTCATCAATGAACACGTTCATGCCTTAAATTATTGAGTAAAATGGCCATTTAAGTGCTTTGGGCGAACTGAGGTCAGTCAATGACCATTGATGCCTTTTTGATACCTTAGTAATTTATTACAAGGGTCTCGTAATTGATTACTAGTGGCCTGAGGGCTATTTGTACAAAAAGTTCAACGTGACTCCCCAATTAGAACAACACTTTCCATGATGGTTTTTGTTAATTTTTTCATTTTTTGAGATGGGTGAGTGAGTTCAATGTTATTGGGTGTGTTTCCTACACCAATGATCATGTTAGGCCATTGATTTCTTCAAAAAAATATCCATTTAGGTGGTTTGCTCCAACTAAGGTGAGGTGCATGACCATTGTTCCCTTTCTGAAGGCCTGATAATCAATTACAAGGGTCATGTAATCGATTACCAGGGATTTGAGGGTTATTTGTACAGAAAGCTCAATGTGACTCCCCAATTGGAACAACAACACTCTGCATGATGGTTTTTGGTCTGTTTTGGGTTAATTTTTCCATTTTTTGAGAGGGTGAGTGAGTTCAATGTGAATGGCTGGTGTTTAAGTGCAATGATGGTTTTATTACCCATTTTTCCATCTTTTGGACTTCATCTATCTTGCTCCTATTACCCATATGGCCTTTTTCCTCCACATTGAAATGGAATAAGATGTTGTTCATGCACTCAAAATTCTTGTTCCCACAAGAAATTAAACAGAGAAAGACGAGAGCTTCAACGAGTCAAGGGAGAGAACTTCAACAAGAAAAAGGAGAGACCTTCAACCTTGAACCAGAGAAAGGAGAGAGCTTGAATCACAACACAAAGAATGTGGTGAGAGAACGCGTTTTTGTTCGTGAGAGAGAAATGAGTTAGAATGATCTTAGGTTCGTGAGAGAGAAAGAAAAAGAAAGCATAATGGACTAAAGAAAAAAATGAAATTTTTTTCAAAAGAATAAAGTTATTTTGGGAACACTCTTTTTCACGTCAACCAGTACAATGTTTTTTATGAGGGTCCAATAACATTTTGTCACATGAACGTTATCAAAATATATGTTATTAAAATCTGGTTGTTAACACATTGAATCCTTTATAAAAGAAAATGTTTTTTCAGTTTCTGAAGTAGACTTTGATATGTTAACGACTTTTATTAACAATATTTTGATAACCCTTGTGTTATCACATTATTGAACTGTTTAAAATAAATTTTTTATTTGTTAAAGTTGACGTGAAAAGTTGTGTTAGGTTAGAGTTTGAATTTCAAAATTACCTTTACCATTTAAATTTTAAAAAAGGTATTTATTGTCTCTCCTCTCTCAGACCCTGCACTATTTTCCATTTCTGCTTTCTCTCTCCACTCTCTCTCCACTCTCTCTCCAACCTCTTTTTTTTCTCTGTTTTTAGGTCATCTTCTCCAACGAAGCAATCCGACGAGACACATATTTTTCTTTCTCTTTTCTCCTTTTCCCTTCGCGTTTTTTCCTTTTCCTCTTCGCCTTTTCTATTTTTCCTTTTCCATTTTGTCTGTACCTTTTCTCCTTTGCTCTTTTGTGTTCTTTTTGTAGTTAATTATTTTTTGGACTGTTGTGACGTAATAAATTTATTTTGATGCAGTGTGTGCCATTTTTTCAAAACCAAGTTCACTGGTACTTTGAATATTTTTCGAGTTCATAAAACCCCGTGAATATTTTCATTCCCCTTTTCTTATTCTTCATGTTTATTATTTTTTTTCTTGTTGGTGGTTTTATCTATAATCTTTGGGAGTTTCATTTGATTTATTCCTTTTTGGTATTGATTGATTCTCAAGATTGTTTCCTTTTTATTTTGTAGTGCTTGATAACTTAAGTAATGTACTTTACTCACTGTATTAGGTTCAGAAAAGGTAGTGAAATTGTTTGTATTTGACTGATAGTCCCTTCCCTTTTGTGTGCTGAAATTCCTAATAGTTAATGAATTGGAAGAAATGTAGAAGACCTAAATCCATTCTTAGTCATTAATGTGATTCTTACTGGTGTTGGTTTGTTCTCAAGATTGATTCACCAAATCTTATTTATTTTATTTTATGTCAACTTTTGCTTCACCAAATCAGCTCACAACCTGCTCATCTGCTCATAATATTAGTAGTTCACTTGATTATTTATGCCCATGACTGGTGATGCAGTACCAATTCATTTCTACGTGCATGTGTTTCAATGATTGCATATTTGTTGAATGCCTCATTTTCAATTTACACACCTGTACATTATTGCAGTATTGATAATTTTTTTCTTAATTTTAAATAAAAGGTAAGGAAATATTGAAATTCTTTTCAAAGTCTATAATGATTCTCTGCCTCTGTTGTTTCTCTGCTTCACACGAACTTAGTAGTTGATGGCTGAAGATTTTTCAATGTTCGTATTGCTGCTTGGAATTAATCTTCTTTGGAATAGTGTAGTTGACTTGAACAAAGAAGGAAAGCCAAATATCGAAGTTCATAATATTCTCTCTGATATGGAAGTTTTAAGCCAACAGAAAAACAATAACTTGACTTTTCCAATTGCTTGCTTTCTGATTTACAGGGAAGTTTATTCTTTTCTATTTGTTCCGGAGTTTGGTTTGTTAGATGGTGGCTACTGTTACATGTAATTGGAACTTAAAAGTCGGCTTGAATAAGAAAAGTGGAAAAGAAGGCAAAGATAGTTGAAAAGGTGGCTGAAGTGTAAAAGACTAAGGGTATTCACTCGAGGAGAAAGAGGGCAAAGATACTAGAAGACTTGTATGCTCGTTTGCACCAACGTCATTCTCAAGCCAAGCCAAAGAGTAGAAGAGACTTTTTTATTTTATGGAATTATTGGAAGTCCGGATAACATCAATTCATAGAATATAAATGACTACAAATCTTATTTTATAAAGTTATTATGGAAGATTGAGTTAAGTTTTAAAATTCATTTTTAAAAAAAAAAGTAACTTGTTTAATTTCTACAATGTTTTAACTCATCAAAATCATGAATTATGTAGGGCAATAATACCTCTGACGACGAAATATGGATAGACAACGTTTCCTTACAACCATTCACAGATAAAGAATGGAGTTCTCATCAAGGTATATTTTCACATTTTTCAGTCTTATATTAAAATATGTTCTAAGTCCTTTTGCTGATAGTTTAACCATCTTGACAAGTCCTATCATTGAATCAATCTCGTAGTTTAGAAGATGAATCTTATTAATTTTATTAGTTTCTATTTAATAAATGTGATTGTCTTTAGAATATTGATTCAATGAAAGTGATGTACATCAGTAAAGAGAGAAGTTTTGTAAAATTATAAAGTGATGTATAAACGCATATAATAAATTTCTATTACTTTAATGAGTTAAGTGTAGAATCATTCTATTAATTTCTTAAAACTATTAATTGTATTTCTTTTTTTCTTTCAAATCAGCTATTTAAAACTTAGTCTGTTTTTTTTTACTAAATGAGATTCTAAATCGTCATTGCTACTGTAATCTTGATTTGTTGTGGTACTTAATATTATTTTGAAATCATGGCTATGTAAACATTACAAAAAATTAAATATAAGTATACACTGTTGTTCTTATTACAAATTCATTATGAAGAAAAATATCTTAACAATGCAGCTAAAACTTGCTAACCATTTTTTCAAAACATTCTGTGAAATATACCATTACTGATTTGAGATGCTTTTTGACATTTTTATAGATTTGTTTCTCTAGTATTTTTGTGCCTCAATACATATGCTTTCTGCCTTAATATATCTGCTTTCTGCCTTAATACATCTACTTTTGACACGATAGATGTGACATGAGTAAATGATAGATGTGACACTGTGCCACTTGCCTACTATGAAACCTTCGTAAATGGCCAAATTTAGCTATAAGATAGTGACACCACAATGTTTAGATTTTGAAATGTAGCTAAATTTTTTTTTTTTTTTTTTTTTTTTTTTTTCTTTTTTCTTCTGGGTAAGATATTTCTTTAACAATTACATTCCACCAATTAATTTTATAATTAATATAGTTTATGTATTTCAACTTAGTAATTGAAAGTTTGATATCGGTGGTCACTTTTTATCAAATAAATTATGTTAGAAATATTTCTTTGGTAATATTTACTCAACTGAGATTTTTTGCATACGTCTTTCTGCTAAACCATCTCTTGACAGTTGCAGATCATGTTCCTTGTCAATGCTACTATGACTCTTTTTATAAGCATTCCACCGTTTTCCTTACTATCCCCTGCCCAAAGCAGGTGAAAGATTCCCAGTAGCAAATCCAAATTTGGCTCCAAGGTACTGAATCCATTCTGCTTTATTTGTTTATTTATAATGTTGTTTGACTCTCAGTGCATGATCATGTTAATGTTTTATTGAAATAAAGTCTGTTGTGACGAGTCTATATATATCATGGTTAATTTGTGAAAACTCAAGGGTAGCGGTGCAGCAGTGCTTTCTTGGAACACTTTGTGTATGGTATTAATTATTGTGGTGTAAATAATTTGGTCGTACATGCTTGAGTATTTTGATCGAGAAATACATGTATTAGTGATGGAGTCTGTTCTTGTTTATATTAAGTGTTAATGTATGCAAATTGTTTTAAAATTTTGGACTTTAAAATGTTTACTTTAGATCCAATTAGTATATGTTTAAGATGGCTGGTGTGTTTTTTGAATTACCAGCAATAACCAACAATAAAGTTACTACTTTTAGATCTCAAGTGAATAATTATCTTATATTAGGAAGTTTAAGTAATAATTCTCGCGTTTATATTTTCCCCTTACTTGACAATGATGTTTATATAATATATATATATATATATATATATATATATATATATATATATATATATATATATATATATATTTTAAATGTGAAATGCTTCCTATGGTGTTGAATGAAAGCTATTGTGGTGGATGGTTGCGTGTGTATATTACACATCTATGTTGTGGTATGTGTAGCGTTAAACGAAACACCTTTTTAAAACTGTTAGCAGCATTACATACAAATTTTTTTCATATGTAATTATATACCGTTTTCGTATGTAATTACTTACAAATTTTTCATATGCAATTATTTGCGAATTTTTTGTATATAATTATTTACGAATTTTTTCGTATAACGTGAATTTTTTTCATTTTTTGTGTCCTTTAACGTGAATTTTTTTCATTTTTTGTGTCCTTTAACGTGAATTTTTTTCATTTTTTGGCATGAACGACTCATTTTCGTCATTGTTTGTGGTAGTACATCAAAACATAGTTTGACCGACTCAATTGTGGAGAAAAAAGTCCATATAGGTCATTTAAATCATGATAGGTTAAGTTCATGACCATAGGTGGACAAGTCAAGCCTTGGTAATCAATTACAAGGTCCTTGTAATCGATTACCAAGGGCTTACTGTTGGTTTGTACATAAAGTTAACCGTGACTCCCAGCTAGGAGGACTAGACTTCCATAATGATTTTATGTGTCCCTGTATTTCTTTTTTCATTTTTTGGCATCGACAACTCAATTTCGTCATCATTTGTGGTGTCTAGTACATCAAAACATAGTTTGGCCACTCAATTGTGGAGGAAAAAACCCATATGGTGATTTGAACCAAGGAAGCAAGAAGCCCATGACCATTGATTGACAACTCAAACCCTGGTAATTGATTACCAAGGGCCTATTGCTAATTTGTACATAAAGTTCAACGTAACTCTTCAGTTAGAAGAATTGGACTCCTCAAAGCAATTTTCTGTGTCCTTCTTGGTGATTTCTTTTATTTTTTGACATGGATTACTTAGTTTTGTCATGAGTTGTGGTGTTTAGTACATCAAAATAAAATTTGTTGCACTCAATTGTGGAGGAAAAAGCCCATATAAGTGGTTTGAACCAAGGCACGTCAAGTCAGTCTTGGTAATCGATTACGGGATTCCTGCTTGTAATCAATTACAATGGACCTATTGTTGGTGTGTACCTAAAGCTTAACATGGGTCCCCAACTAGGACAACTGAACTCCCCAGAGTGATTTTGTGTGTTCCTTTAAGTGATTTATTTCACTTTTTGGCATGGATGACTCTGGTATTTTGGAAAGACACCACCTGTGATTTGCATTTGGGAAGATTTTTTGAATGACATTTGCCATTGTCCTGCATTGGTCGATTACAATACCTTAAGAAGCCTTGTTATGCATGCATCTAAGCCAACAACTAAATAGTCATACAAATGACGAAGTGTCATATGAAGAAAACAATCCACAACCAAGTAAAATAGATTGTCCATGATGATTTACTCTAATGAATGGTGCAAAAAACATGTCGTACTTATTTGTTAAGTACGTTGTGTCGAAGGAGACATCATTGAATTCCTCACAAGCAGCACGACTTCTAACATCAGCGTAAATAACACTACAATTTCATTTTTCTTCGTCCATTTCAATCTCGTAGAAGAAGTCGTTATTTAATTCTTTCATCTTTGAAAAGTGTTGTAAGAGTGTTTGACCACCACTGTCCTTACATAATGACCTTCTTTGCTGCCAATGTAATTGTGTGCATCTCGCTCGACAAATTGCATATTTTCAAATCTACCTGCATCGCCCACGATGCTAAGAAAACTTTTATTCATCCGTACGCCGACATCATCATTTACCTCCAATGTGTGTTTTGCTTGCAACATGTTCAACTTTTTGTTACCATGGATTAGGTTTGAGGTGTTGGGACACAGTTCATGACTGTGGTCTAGAACAACAATTCTTATAAACTATTTTCCTTCTTTTCTTGCAATTGTTAATCCAGCTGGACATTCTTTTGTTTGACTTAACAGTGTTTTCAGCTCCGATGTAATGTAAGTGATGTACTTTCCTTCCTTTGAATAAGCTAATTTCAAGTAATTCAATTCCTTATTCTCATCTTTCATAGAAGTCTTTATTCGGACACTGAAAGCATACCTTATCCCTTAGTCGGTATAAAATTTCTTGCCTTCTTTCATTGTATCAAAACACATATACATTGCTTGCACCAATTCCATAGAATTTTCATCCTTGTCATTAATTCAATCATTAAATTTGGGCACGATAGTATCCACATCTGTGTGAAGTTCACATGACAATATTGTATATCATGGTTATGGTGCACAAAAAATAACTATACTTAAAGTTGATCAAGGAAATATTAGACCATGATTTCATATTGTTTCATTTAATGTAAAACTTCTAAGTTTAAGGCATAAATAATAGGAAAAGAAATTTGGATATCAACATAAAAGAATATGGAATATGCATACTAAAATAAAAAATAAAAACAATAAATAAAAGAGTAATGGTGACCATAGTGGTCACTCTGGTGCACACGTTAAAGGAAACAACTATATCTATAAGTGAAGACCTCAAAGTTAAAAGGAATGTAATAACTGTGGAAATAAATGAAGGACTGCACCTCACCAATCTCCAAACAAGGACATTAATATGGAGTTTAATGCAGGCGAACGAACAAAATGAAGGTTGAAGTGAACAAAACGCATTTCCCTTTGTAGGGGTTCTTTAATGCAACAAGGATGGAAAAGAAAGCTCATTTCATTTGTTAATATAGGGGCAATAATTGTATTGTGATATTTCCTTCCCTTCATTAAATGTTGGTAGGTGAGATGTGCCAAAAAGTAGTCGTAGATAGTGAGCTAACCTTTCCTTCATTAAATGCACCTTAAAGAAAGCTAAAACAATCATTTTATATTAGAAAAATATAATATAATATGTTATCTCTTTATATATGGGAGGTGTGACGTGTTACATTGACACTTTGGAAATCAGTGCATTGTGAAGTACAGAGCTTGTGAATGATGGATATCCCAATGAAATTTCGACCATGGTGTTGTATGAACATTTCTGCCCATTTCTAGGAATTGGATTTGAAATCACGGTTTAATATTGCTTTAGCAACATCCTGAACAAGTGCTTTAGTGGTTTGGGGTTCATCACTGACCTTGTTCATTAACATAGCTTGAACATTTCCTACAGGACCAGGTATAAGTGTGGATGTAGCATTATACCTCTTCAGGAAAGCTTAAAATAGATATTGTCATCAATAACAAGACCCTCCCACCATCTATAATTGGAGTATCTAAAAAGATAAATTTTATGTAACATAACCTTTGTATCAAAAGGGGATACAAATTTTTCACCATGCAAAAAATTATAATAGTTGGGGAAAATGAGAATGGTGATGTTTGTTCAGGAAAACGAGAGTGGTAATGATGAACTGGAATATAATGATTTCCCAAGTGTCATTCATAGTAAACACTTCACACACCTCTCATGTATAAAGAGGTAACAATTATTATATTTTATTCTAATATAAAATTATTACTTTATCTTTCTTTAAGGTGTATTTAATAACGGAAGGTAAGTTGACTTCTTACGGTTACTTTTTGACACATCTCTTCTACCAACATTTAATAAAGGGAAGGAAATTTCACAGCATAATTAATGCCCCTACATTAACCAGTGAAATGAGTTTTCTTTTCCACCATTGTTGCATTAAAGAACCTTTACAAAGGGAAATGAGTTTTGTTCACTTTAACCTTCATTTTCTTCGTTCTCCTACATTTAACTTCATATTAATGTCCTTGTTTGAGGGTTGATGAGGTGCAGTCCTTCATTTATTTTCGCAGTTATTAATTCCTTTTAACTTTGAGGTCTTCACTTCGAGATATAGTTGTTTCCTTTAATGTGTGCACTAGAGTGATCACCACGGTCACCATTACTCTTTTATTTGTTATTTTTATTTTTTATTTTAGTATGCATATTCCATATTCTTTTATGATGATACCTAAATTTCTTTTTCTATTATGTCTGGCTTAAACTTAGAAGTTTTAGTTACCTTAAACAATATGAAATCATGGTCTAATTTTTCCTTGTTCAACTTTAAGTATAGTTATTTTTTGTGCACCATAACCATGGTATACAACATTATCATGCCCAAATTAATGACGAGAATGAGAATTATTCGGAGTTGGTGCTAATAGTGCATGTGTTTTGATGCAATGGAAGAAGCCAAAAAATTTTACACCAACTACGGGATAAGGTCTGACATCGATGTCCGAATAAGGGTTTCTAAGAAAGATGAGAAAAAGGAATTGAATTACTTGAAATTAGTTTGTTTAAGGGAAAGAAAGTATGTCTCTCCCATTAGACCGGGCTGAAAACGCTGCCAAGTCAAACAAAAGAATGTCCGTCTAGAGTAACGGTTGCAAGAAAAAAAAGGAAATGGTTTATAAGAACTGTTGTTCTAATCACAGTCATCAGTTATGTCCCAACACCTC